CAAGGGCGTGTTCTCGTCAATTACTATCGAGTCGTGCGGTCCGCCGGGGCCATGGGGCCCCCTGCGCCCCCCCCCGCCATCAGAGGGGTCTGACCCTCCTGGACTCCCCGGAGGCGATCTTCGCGGTCCTCTGCTGCGATCATCCTCGCTTGAAGATGCGATCTCAGTGTTTGGAGCGTCGCTCTTGTCATCATCTTCTCTGCCCTGTCCTGCATTGCCGGACGACTTAGTCGCCGTCGTTCCCTTAGGACCATCTCCGTAGGTTGTGCGGAGGTTGGCAAGGGTGTTATTTTCATTAGGTCCAGTTAGCCTCATCCCAGCAGGGAGTACACTATCAGCGGTACTCGGCTTAGCCGGACCTTCAAGGGCAGGTCCTGGGACAGAATAATGTTGTTGTAACAGCGGATTCCATGGGGGTTTCTTGCGAAAGCAACGGGAATCCGAACGACTTCGATGTGAGTCCGACGTCAAGTTTTGTTTCAGTATACGGATTCGGGTCGGCGATGATAGCCTTAAGCCTCATCATTCCTATCTCTCTCTTAGCCGCGTTCGATGCAATCTCTTCTTCTCGCATGTTAGCCGCTGACCTTTCACTCTTCCACAGGTTGCATCTGGAGCATCTCCTCGTACTCGCATCGATATGCTCGTTTCAAGCCGGGCTGCCACATCCGACGCAGTCGTCTGTCTTCGGTCGACCGCAAACGACACAAAACTGGTCCACGGGAAGCGCGTTTCCATTCCCATCGGGAGGAGGGCGTGTAGCACCTCCAACCAGCATGGTCGATGCACCCGCATTTGCCACGGTCGCCTGGTCGAACTGCGCATGGGCAGGCGCGATGCTCGACGACTGAGCCGTCGAAAGTTGGTGCATGTTCGACCCGAGCGGCTTAGACGGCGGGTATTTATTGTCGCTCGACATTATACGCTGAAGAGACGATCTGGCTTCCTCATGCGATTTAAGCTCTTCTATATAGAGATTGGTCTGGTTGTTTATCTTCGCAACTACAGCTTGGGTGTTGTCTGCTTTCAGCCTGGCGGCTTTGAGCTCTTCTTGTAATCCCTGCTTTTCTCGTTCCGCCACGGCTGTCACGATTTGTTCTCCTTCTATCTTGGCCACCGCAACAGCAGCGGCAACCGCGTGGGCGTCCACAGATTCTTCGTTCGCCATCGTGACGGTCCGTCTCTCCGAAGTCAATAATTTTCTGTATTTGTATTCTGCTGCCCTCTCCACTTGCCATTTCGCGGCCTCAGTCTGGTTGCACAGGTGTTCTATAAGCGCTCGTTCACGCTCTCTCTCGCGGCCATGGCTAGGGCGATCCGTTCAGCCTCAAACGTTTTCCTGGCTTCAATCACAGATTCAACTAATTCTCCCCTGTCCATCCGAGCTCTTTCTGCCAGATTCGCCTCAGTAGTCAGAAGCTCTCTCTGAGTTTTAGCCTCTGCCAGCCTGGCCTGGTCATGGATTGACTGCAAGAAGAGATACGTGCAGCTGTGTTCGTCCATTGGGTAGCACTCCGCGAATAGCAATTGCATGTTGCACTTGTTGCAAACGTCCGAGCAGTTCCTGCGCACCGGGTTCCTGCATGCGCCTTCGGGCTTGTTGGCCTTTCCTGGGCATCTGTTCTCCGCCTGAGGCGCGCAGCCAGGATTCGGATTCCAACCTGCCTCCATCATAGAGACTGTACTGTTGCTTCTAGAGGTAGACCTCGCCCCTGACCTTGGTATGTTTGGCCTTCCTCTGCTCGGGGCGTTCGATCCTGGGCGAGCACAAGTACTTTCTGGTGGTTTGGGCGCATTTAGGAGCTCCTCATCCTTCTCGTCTCGTTTGAACAGCTGAGAGTTGTTGTCCGACCATTTCTTCATCCTCAACAACAGCCGGAATGGTGGGTTGCCACTCGCCTGAGGTGGTGGCGTTACGGAAGAAGCCTTTTTTTTTAATGGCGAGACGTTTAGCTCATAGTCCTCATTCCGTTGTTTCTTGAGATTAGGCGCAGGCGTTCGCCCGGTGGACTCCCTCTCATGCTTCGTTTGAATCTCCGTCCTGTCCGCCTGAGGCGTCAGGATACTAGTGTCTTCATCGGATCCATCTGGAGACCAGCTTTTGTCACGAGCAGGGATGTCCTCATCCAACATCACGGACAACGCTCGGCTCCGGGAAATATCATTGTTGATATTATCAAAACTTTCTTCCATGGAGTATATTTCGTGATCCTTGTCCAATGGATCGTCGCTATCCTGGCCGAATTGTCCGTTAAGTGCTATAGGGGTCGGGGCCGTAATGTGCATACCCACCCAATCTACGGGGATGTTAGGATACGCACTCGGATTCCCTTGGGCTTCTCCTGGCCGGCTGGTTTCACCAGCGGCAATGGCGATAGTCTGTGGTGCATTCTGAATGGGACTTATCGATTCCGTCGAGTTGGCACTTAACCTGGAAGAGAATGCACCTCTTCTGGGCCTTGGCGTGACGCCTTCTCGCCCGTGAGGGTCAGGGGTTTGCTCAAGATCACCTATCGGGGCCCCTACTGTGGGCATGTCTACTGACATTTCGGTTATCCCATCAGTATTTCTCCCCCTGGTGACCCGATCGGCGATTGTCGAAGGAGGGATTCGGTCTTGAATAAGACCGATTGTATCTGTTTCGTGTCCACCATGTTATTCAACGCGCCAATGTGCGCTTCTCGATATATTAGACACGATGTTAGTCTTATCGTAGCTCTCTCCCGCAGCGACTGGATCGCGGGACACGGCTTGAAGATTCCCTTTTGTATATGATGGCCCCGCGTCGACTGAGTCGCGCGTTTCGGCTGGTAAACAGTCTTTCCTCTGAGAATCGGGGTAAGATAACAAAGGAAATACGATCTCATGTTCACTATGCTCAGGGGGAGCGGAGGCGAGATGAGACATTGATAAGACAGATATCCGTGAAGCTAAACCACTCGATCAGGAATAGGAAAGGAGGAGGAAGGCCGAGGACGGACGACGACAGATCGCCCGCGCCCCCCCAGCGCGCTCCTTTTCTCTCCTGCCAGCCGAGTCCGGCTGGTTTGAGCAGTATCACAGCTGCAGAAATGCAGCGTCAGTACACGCGGACAGTTCGATGCATGCAATCTAAGTTATCTTCGAATTGAGTATTAGGCGGAGAGGAGCATATTTACTAAGTGGTCTGACCACCTCAGCTCAGGGCGTCTCGGAACCCAGCATTGCGGGGATCTCTCAGGCAGGAGTGGCATGACCACCTGCTCAGGGCATCTCGGAACCCAGAGTTGTGAGGGTCTCAGGCGAAAGAGTCCGAGAGTCAGACGTCAGAGTTGCGAGAATGTCTCAGGCGACAGTGGCCTGACCACCTCAACTCTGGGCATATCGGAACCGAGACTTGCGAGGATGTCTGAGGCGAAAATGGCTGCACCACCATGGGGCAGGACATCTCCGCGATCAGAGTTGTGCGGATGTTTAAAGCGAAAGCGGTCTAACCACCTCAGCTCAGAGCGTCTCGGAACACAGAGTTGCGAGGATGTCTCAAGCGAAAGTGGCCGGGCCACCATGAGGCAGGGCATCTCTGAGGTCAGAATTGCGAGGATGTCTCACGCGAAAGTGGCCAAATCACCTCATGTCAAAACATATCGGCCTCCATTGTGCCGACGATGTCCCGCGCGGAACTGGCCAGAAGATTTCGAGACCCGCATTTGCGAACCCGGAGTTGTGAGGATGCCCTGTAGGCGAGAGTGCCCAGATCATCTCAAGCCGCGGCATCTTGGAGCCAAGAGTTCGAGGATGTCTCACGCGGAACGGGCCTCCTCCTCCTCCTACTCCTCCTCCTCCTCCTCCCCCTCCTCCTCCTCCTCCTCATCATCACCATCATCACCACCATCATCATCATCATCATCACCATCATCACCACCACCATCACCATCACCATCACCACCACCACCACCATCATGATCATCATCATCGTCATCATAATCATTATCATCATCATCACCACCACCACCACGACCACGACCACCACCACCACCATCATCATCATCATCACCACCACAACCACCACCACCATCATCAACATCATCATCATAACCATCATCATCATCACCATCATCACCAGCAGCATCATCATCAACATCATCATCATCATCATCATCATCATCATCATCATTATCTGCATGACCGTCATCATAATCGTCATCATCGTCATCATCAGCATCATCATAATCGTCATCAATATCCTCATCATCACCATCATCATCATCAACATCATTATCATCGCCGTCATTATCATCATAATCGTCCCCCTCCCCTCATTATCGTCCCTCCTTATCATCGTCATCATCTCTCCCCTCCCGTCCCTCCTCCCTCCCCTCCAGCCCCTCCTGCTGCCGCTGCTTCCCTTTCCGCTCCCCAGAAGACATAAAGAGAGCGAGGAAGACAGAGAGACAGAGACAGAGACAGAGACACAGAGAGAGAGAGAGAGAGACGCACGCACGCACAAACGCACACACGCGCTCTGGCGGCCGCATGAGACGTAGACTGAAAGAGAAAACGCGCCGCATTGAATAACAATATCCCTAATGAACCTTGGTGAACCTTGAGGAAGACGCCCAAGACGGCCCCCCAGGCCCCCCAGACGGCTCCAGACGGCTCCAAAGGACCCCCCCAGACGGCGAGTGGGACCCCAGGATGGCCCAAGAGGGCCCCCAGACGGGGGGGAATCGGGGGGAGGGGTTGGTTGGTTGGTGTGGGGGGGGTGGGCTGGGGGGGCCAGACCCGGTGTCTTCCAACAACAACAAGAATCCACATCGCTGAATTCCACTTCAGCCACGCACCCAAGGACAGTGAATGACCGATCGGTTCAGCCCTCTCACTCTGACAAACTATGAGACGGGGGGAAGAGAGAGAGATGATACAAAGATAACCCGTCAGGCACACTAGATGTATGTGCATACGCATGCTCACATCTGACTGTACACTCGTACAGAGATATGAAGAGGCAAACCACACATGTTTACTGCTCCGCGCACGCGCCGCCCGTCAACTCATCATGGCGCGCGCCAAGGCTCCGCGCCAGAAATCCTCCGTGCCCCGTTCCGCAGAGGGGCCAGCCGCCTAATGGAGAACCTTTCGGGGAGACGTAAGACTCGGGTACGGCGGACTGGGTGTGGCATGACGGGGCCGTCATGAAAATGACGAGACCCAATCTGAAATTTGACGCGAACTCCCGCTGCAAACATCCCACGAAAACCAAACCAGAAAAATCCACGACACGCTCGTCAAAAAACTTCGGCAAACCCGAAGTCCGGCTTACTCGAGTCTTACGTTTCCCCGAACCTTCCGCGAAGAGCAACTCCACCTCCGCCACCCGAGGTCCCGCCCAGGACCAACCTACCAATCTAACCATTGGGCAGGGACCGACTGTCCTGGCATTCCTGTAAACATACCACGACACGCTCTTAGGACAAACGTAATGCTCTAAAAACAACAAGAATGCCCCCATGACGAAGAAGCCGTGTATTGGCACAAGGCTGTCCCAACAGAACACATTATAGAACATCCCAAGTAAACCACAAAGGTCCCGTGCGTCCAGACATGACTATCGGTCGACCGATAGGCAGGTCAGGACGCTTCGCCACTGCTTGAAACCAACCCAACCGCACAAGTAATCATCAGAGCTGGGCTGCCATGGGACGAAAACCTTCAGATACATTGCATCTTACCGTTTCCTTGTCTCCAAAATGACCGCACGAACGGACCGGCATGTCTCGCACTGGTAAGTATCCCCTGTTCCCAGTGAGCCATCAAGACAGCACAGGCGATCCGAATACGCCTCCATGAGGCACCGAAAACGGGCCAAGGTGCGCCGAAGAGGCCTGCAAGAGGCGCCAGAGAGGCCCCGAGTCTGTCGAACGCCACCCTCGACCTCAGATCCGCGAGAGGCCTGCAGCGATGTGAGACTCTTGCCCACCCGCGGCGGCACCGAGGGAGCCGACCACCGAGCCGATACCCGACCAGATACCGAAGGCAAAACTCATAGAACAGGCAAGCGACAGAGAGGAAGAGGAGGAGGAGGAGGAGGAGGAGGAAGAAAAGAGCAGCGCCTCCCAGAAGACGAGCGCGCACAACCGCGTACATGCCTACGGCTCCTGGGTCTGCGCGACCCGCCTCCCGAGACGAACGCTGGCGCACCGCGTAGTTTGCAGACCACTAGGTATGTCCGTCTGTCGCTCCTGATCTTACTCTCTGGGGATCTCGACCGCATGCCCTCCCTGGGTAGTCGAAGCCAATCTGGCGCCAATCTGGCAGGCCCAATCTGGCAAACGGGGGCAATCTGGCGAGGGAGCCAGCGCGAATCCAGTCTGGCGGATAACCCAAATCATCCAGTCTGGCCGGGCCAGATTGGCCCTTGGGGCCCAATCCAATCTGACAGTCTGGCCTTCGACTACCCAGTGAGACGAACGCTTGCGCACCGCGTAGTTTGCAGACCACCAGGTCTGTCCCTCTTTCGCTCCTGATCTTACTCCCTGGGGATCTCGACCGCATGCCCTCCGCCGCCAGGCTGGGCCCGAGCATCTTCGGGGTCGTTGTGCGAACCCTGCATGGTGCACGTCGTGCTGAGACGAACGCTGGCGCACCGCGTATTTTGCAAACCACCAGGTGTGTCCCTCTTTCGCTCCTGATCTTACTCCCTGGGGATCTCGGCCGCAGGATTGCAAAAAAACCGAAGGATTGCAAAAAACCCTCGTTGCAATCCTTCGTTGCAATCCTTTGCAATCAAAGGTTTTTTGTTGCAATCCTTTTTTGCAATCCTCTGTTGTTTTGCAATCCTTCGTTTTTTTGCAAAGCCCTCCGCCGCCTGCTGGGCCCGAGCATCGCCGGGGTCGTTGTGCGAACTGTGCACGGTGCACGCCGCGCCGCACGAGGCAGGCCCTGCGCTCTCCGACGCTGCGGGCCAGGTCTCGGCCCGACAGCGCAGTGCGCGGAAGAGCAAGAGGAGAAGCAGGAGGAGGAGGAGGAGGAGGAGGAGGAGAAGTACAACGAGGAGGAGGAGGGGGAGGAGGAGGAGGAGGAGGAGGAGGAGGAGGAGAAGAAATACAACAAGGAGGGGGAGAGGGAGGAGGAGGAGAGGGAGGGAGGAGGAGGAGGAGGAGGAAGAGGAGGAGCAGGAGGGGATAAGAAGCAGGAGGAGAGGAGAGGCAGAAACAGCAGCAAGAGGAGAAGCAGGAGGAGGAGGACGAACCCAGACATCCGACCGACGATACGTTGCTTCAATGCGCAGCCCAAGAGGTCCCGACCCCTGCCTCAGAGTCGTCCCAGATGCAGCTTTGATAGCCCTGGGGCCCGAGAACCATCCCCCGGGGCTGAAACCTAGACAAAAACACTCAGATTGGACAAAAGTACTCCAGCAAAGCACCCGAATAGCAGCAAAGGTGAGGACGCGGGCCGGGGAGCATGAGCTCGGCGAATGAACACGTGCCCGGGCAAGGGTGAGGGCACGGCCATGTGCACCTTGCTGCTTCTGTTGCGAAGGATGGTGGCCACCTGGACCACAACTGTACAGTGGGAGCTCGACCGCGAGAAACCTTCCATAGAAAACCACGCCCTGATACCCAAGGACGTCCGTTGGTTTTTGGTGTGGGGAAATCACACTCTCCATCGCTAAACCATGGAAGCCCGAGAAACCCAGGTCACCCGAGAGGCAAGCAGGGTGATGCTTGTCATGGGTGGGGGGCATTGGGGCGGGCGGTCTCGGGGACGCAATCCCCCAATCCCCCCCCGTGGGACAATCTGCGGTCCTTCCCGCTGGCAGAACCGCCCGGCGAAACGCTACGAGGGCATCGGCATATCCCGTCGTCCTCCTCCCCCCTCCTCCTCCCCCTCCTCCTCCTCCTTCCTCCTCCTCCTCCTCCCCTCCTCCTCCTCCTCCTCCTCCCCCCTCCTCCTCCTCCTCCTCCTCCTCCTCCTCCTCCTCCTCCTCCTCCTCCTCCTCCTCCTCCTCCCCAGGCAGTTCCCGCGATGGTCCTGGCTGGCCTCGACAGGCCCCCCGAATAATCCCACTCGACAGGCCCACCGAGTAGCCTGGGACGGTCTCAACCTTGGGCCGTGCAGCGCCCCAGGGGCGTCCCAGGAGCGGCGCAAAGTTAGGGAGTGAAGATCGGCGCGGACAACTCTGAAGGGGCCCTGGGACACACAAATAAGTAGACACAAATAAAAGGATTCCCCATAGTTTCCAATATTTTGGGGGGTCTTGTCTCCCCCCCCCCAACTTCCCATATTTTCCCATATGTTCTTGGGGATCGACGGTTATTTATGTCTGTTGGATTTTGCCCCACCTGAGACAACTCGGGGGGCCTGTGGGGGCCAGCTGGGACTTCTCGTCAGGGGTTGCCAAGGGTGCCCCTGGCCCCAGGTGCCCTCAGCTCTTAGCTCCACTTTGGAGCCCCAGGGGGCCCATCTGGGCCTGGCGAGGGGTGCTCTGTAGGCCGTGGGGACCTCCTCGGAACTCCTGGGGGCACCGGGGCCCAGGGGCAAGTCCAGGCACACCCCGACTCGGGGGGCCTTTGGAGGCCAGCAGGGGCTACCTGGGGGGGCTGTCCGTACGCAGTCCGAGGCGTTCCCAGCCAGAGATCTGGAGCGCCGCGGAGGTTGGCTCCAGCCCCTCTTGAGCAGGGACCGACCGTCCCGGCATTCCTACAGTCCTACCTCGACACGCTCTTACAACCCAAGAACGTTCTAAGAACCAAAACAATGTTCTTAGCATATGAACCCGATGTGAGAAAACAAGACAGACTCCGCCATAACTGTTCTAAGAACATTTCGTGGGAACCACAAAAGGTTCGTAGAACATTGTCTGGTAGGGCTAGAGGCGAGCCAGGGCGCTTCGTCACTGCTTGACAGTGCGCAGTCCGAGGCTTTCCCGGCCAGAGATCTGGAGCGCCGCGGAGGTTGGCTCCAGCCCCTGGAGGAGGAGGAGGAGGAGGAGGAGGAGGAGGAGGAGGAGGAGGAGGAGGAGGAGGAGGAGGAGGAGGAGGCGGGGGGCGGCGGAGGCCGTCGTGGCAGGCGGCGGCCGCGGGGATCGGCGCTGCGGACGAGCAGCACGTTGCTCTCTCGGCGCATGCGCGCGGAGAGGCCTCGGGGAAAGCCCCGGGCGCGCGCCCGCGACGACGTCAGCGAAGACGACGAGGACAGCAACGAGGAGGAGGAGGACGAGAACAGACACGACACTGACGACGAGGATGACGAGGACGAGGTCAAGGACGAGGACGACGTGGGCGAGGACGAGGACGACAACGAAGAGGACGACGAGGGAATCGACAAGGCGACGACGACGACGACGACGACGACGACGACGACGACGACGACGGGGCCGACAGCGACGGTGAGGGGCCGGCCGCCCCTTCCCCGCCCCTTTCCTCCCCTGGGGGGCAGCGATGGGGGGACCGGCTCGCGGGGAAACGTCGGCCTCCTCCTCCTCCTCCCCCTCCTCCTCCTCCTCCTCATCCTCCTCCTCGTCGCACTCGTCCTCTTCCTCCTTCTCCTCCTGCTGCTACTTCTCCTCCCCTTCCCCTTCCCCCTTCCTCCTCCTCCCCCTCCTCCTGCTCCTCCTCATCCTCCTCTTCCTGCTCCTCCTCCTCCTCCTCCTCCTCCTCCTCCTCCTCCTTCTCCTACTCATCCTCCTCCTCCTCGCACTCATCCTCTTCCTCCTTCTCCCCCTTCTCCTACTCCTCCTTCTCCCCCTCCCCTTCCCCCTTCCTCCTCCTCCCCCTCCTCCTGCTCCTCCTCCTCCTCCTCCTCTTCTGCTCCTCCTCCTCTCCTCCTCCTCCTCCTCCTCCCTCCTTCCTCCTCCTCCTCCTCCTCCCTCCTCCTCCCCCTTTCCTCCTCCGTCCCTCCTCCTTCTCCTCCTTGTTCTCCTCGTTTTCCTCCTCCTCCTCCTCCTCCTCCTCCTCCTGGAGTTCACATTGTCGTGCTCTCCTGCCTTGTGCATCCTCCTGTCTGGTTTCCTCCTCGTTCTTCCTCCTCCTCCTTCCTCCTCCTCCAAGAGTCGGCGTCACATCGCCGACATGTCGGCGAGATGCTCCCGATCCGCCACCGTGCCTTGTGCATGATGGAGCGCGGAAGAATGTCAAGGTCTGTCTGGTCGGGTTCCTGTAATTTTCTAAGGCCCCCCACCCTCTACTAGCGCCCAGGGACGCGCATCGCCCTCTTCCCGATGCGATGGCTCCTTGCGTAACATACACTATATATTCGCGCTCCCGAGGCCCAGATGCCTCCAAGACGGTCCAATGTCGATCCAAGACGGGCCACGTTGGCCTCAGGAAGGCCCGAAATGGCCTCAAAACGGCCCACGAGGCAGTCGAAGCGTCCCAAAAGAGCGTCCAGAGCCTTCCCAGGAGGACCTGGGGGGGGGGCAAACCGTTGTTCCCCATTCGGCTTCCCAAACTGCTTTCTGGTATTGGCCTTTTCGAGCTCCCGACGTCGACCCAAAAGCCCAAGAGGCAACCGGGCCTTCCCCAACACGGCCCGAGAGGTCCCCACAAGGGCCCCAAGGCGGCCCAGAGAGGCCCAAAGGCAGCCCAAGGGGCGCCGGGGAATGCCCAGGAGGGCCCCGAGACGGCCCCCTAGCAGGGCCGTGGAGAGCGAGCGCGAAACGACAATTCGAGCGTTCCGCCCCAGGAGAGCCCAGGAGGCCCCAGGAAAACATAACAATAGGCCCAAAACTAGCCCCAAGAGCAATAGGCCCCCAAAACATAGGCCCCAGGAGGCCCCAGGAAAACGAAAAAATAGGCCCCAAAAAATAACCCCCAAAATAGCCCCCCCAAAAAATAGCCCCAAAATGCGGCCCTAAAGAGGGACCCGGAAAGCAAAAAAGCATAGATGTTCAACAAGTTCGTTGAATGTGTTTGGGTTCCCGCCTCGGTGAGCTTCCGACGCTCCACGATGGCCCAAGGGGGGCGCCCAGCACTCCTCCGACGCGGCTCGAGAGGCCGCCAACATAGCTCCAAGACGGCCCAAGAGGACTCCACGACGGCTCAATAGGCGCCCACGCCCTCCCAAGAACACTCCAAGACGGCCCCTGAGAAAGGGCCCAAGAGCAGGAATACGAACCCAACATGTGAATTGTCTGCCCCAAGAGGCCCCTCCCCACCAGGCACCCCTTGTCTTCTCGAGTAGCCTGCCATCAGACATGCTGCGTTGGCACGGTCGCGGAAGTGCAGAGGGCGGCTGGATAAACGGAACCACGTGGTCCTGGGTGGGGCGGATTTTCGGGCCCCATATCGGAGATAGACAAACGGTTGGGATCGATGCGCCCCCCGCATGAACCTGTTTATCCATACATCCGTGCCCCCATTCAGCTTCGACTGTCGACGTGTGCTGCGAGGCCCGAGCAGGGCACCGCGCACTCGCGCGCAGTGAGGAATACATGCCTGGGACGACTACCACAGCAGCCAACGCCCCCCCCCCGCACCCCCCATGCAACCCAAGAGAGAGGACCATTGCGGGGGATCGCGGGGTCCCAAATTGTCCCTCAGCCATCGCGTTATGTATATATATATATATATGATACCAGAGAAAAAAGCCCAATCAGAATTTAGGGGGGCTATGGGGTTTTAGGGCTTCAGGGCTATGGGGCTATAGGGCGATGTGGCCATAGGGATATAGGGCTAGAAGCCTTTAGGGCTATGGGGCTATAGGGCTACAGGGCTATAGGGCTATAGGGCTAAGGGCTATAATGCTATTCGGGCATTCGGGCTATAGGGCTATATACGACTATAGGGCTTTAGGACCATAGGGCTATAGGGCTATAGGGCTATGGGGCTATGGAAGTATGGGGCTATTGGGCTATTGGGCTATTGGGCTATAGGGCTATCGGAGGTGAGGGGGTGAGATCGAAGTGGAACGGCGAGCCCCCCACCGGGAAATCGGTTTCGGTTTCGCGTTCGTGCGTGCCGTGCGTGCGAGGCGAAGCTGCGCGGGCGGGCGAGAGAAAGTCTCCTGTGGCTGAGGCGCGGCCGGACCAAATGTTTCTCTTCCGGGGCGCGGGGCCCCGCGGTGTCCCGCCGGTGGCCCGCGGTGTCCTCCTGTGGCTGAGGCGCGGCCGGACCAAATGTTTCTCATCCGGGGCGCGGGGCCCCGCGGTGTCCCGCCTGTGTCCCGCGGTGTCCCGCGGTGTCCCGCGGTGTCCTGCCGGTGTCCCGCGAGGATGATGATGATGATGATGAGATGATGATGATGATGATGATGATGATGATGATGATGATGAGATGATGATGATGGTGTCCTAATGAAGATGATGATGATATTGATGATGGTGCCGATGATGAGGATAGTGTCCCGATGATGGGGATGATGATGCTCATTATGATTATGTTGATGATGATGACGATGATGGTGTCCCGATGATGATGATGATGATGATGATGAGTCCGATGATGTTGGTGATGATGATGATGATGGAAATGGTGTCCAGGCAATAATGGTGTTGATGATGATGTTGATGATGAGTATGGTGTCCCGATGATGATGCTGATGATGATGATGGTGATGATGATGATGGTGATGCTGATGGTGTCCCGATGATGATAATAATGATGATAATGACGATGTTGATGATGATGTTGCTCATGCTGATGATGGTGCCCCAGTGATGATGATGATGTTGATGATGATGATGTCGATGATGATGATGCGATGATCATGATGATGATAATGATGATGATGATGATGATCATGATGGTGTCCCGAGGAGGATGACGATGTTGATGATGATGTTGATGATGAGAACGATGGTGATCATGATAGTGCCCCGATTATGATGATGATTATGATGATGCTGCTGATGATGATGACGATGACTGTGTCCCGGTGATGATGATGTTGATGATGAGATGATGATGGTAATGATGATGATGATGATGTTGTCCCGATGATGATGCTGACGTTGATGATGATGTTTATGATGATGATGATGATGATGATGATGACGGTGCCCTCATGATGATGACGATGTTGGTGATGATGGTGATGGTGATGATGATGTTGATGATGATGATGTTGATTGTGAGAGCGATTGTGATGTCGATAGGGAGATCGATATTGAGACCGAATGTGAGATCGACTGTGTGATCGATTGTGAGATCGATTGTGAGATCAATTGTGAGATCGATCGAATGAGATAGATCGAGTGAGATCGATTGTGAGATCGATCGAGTGAGATCGATCGAGCGAGACCGATAGTGAGATCGATACTGAGATCGATAGTGAGACCGATCGAGTGAGACGTTGGTTCCCCCCCCCCCCGAACCTCCTTATCACCCGAAGGGTGGTCGTATAGGTACGGCTATAGGGCTATAGGGTTATAGTGCTATAGGGATATACGGCGATTGGGCTATTGGGCTATAGGGATATAGGGCTATTGGGCTAGGCACCCCCAGGCACTTCTGGGCACCCCGGGCACCCGGGCACCCCTGGGCACACCCCCGGGCACCCCCGGGCACCCGGGCACCCGGCCCCGGCCACCGAAATCGGCCACACTCCTGGGCACCCTGGCACCCCCGGGAACCCCTGGGCACCCGGGCACCCGGCCCCGGCCACCGAAATCGGCCGCCCACCTCACCTCAGCTTTATATCCGCTAGGACCCTTATATATACAGAGGCAAGCCATCGCGTTATATATATATATATATATATATATATATATATATCGTACAACGGGGAGGCGCAAAATCCCAGCGTGACAAAAAACGGATCTCAAAACCCCACTCCCGTGTGCAGAGGTCCCACGAAGCCCCGAACCCCGCATCGCGTCGTCGCAAAGCTTTCGGAGGGCCGGTGAAGGCTCGCCGCCGACATTCTCATCATCGCCTTCGACATTGGCCATTAGCCTTCCTGTTCCGTTGTCGTAAGCTCTGGCTCAAGTGCACCCTGTCGCCACTGCTCTTCCCTTGCTCACGATGATGGTGTTAGCGTTTGGCCGAATGAAACGGGCCCGCGTCTCCTCCGTGGAGATCCACTGGGCGAGCCAGGACTCCTGAATGACTTCCAGGGGTTCACGTTGAGTGGATGTCGAGGCCTGAACTTGAGAGCCTCCCAAAGAAGTCTCTACGCACGTACGTTGGTCGAAGCTCTTCGACGACGACGAGGACCCCTTTCATCACATGCAGCATGGGCCTGTGAATTCAAAGCTGGGCTTAGACAGCGGCTGTACGGTTGCCCCTGATCCTCCCTCTTTGGGGCTCGTGGCGGCTTGGGGCAAGACGCTGCCAGCTGAGAAGGGCGGGCCGGCCTAGCGGGGGGGAGGCTTTAAATACTCTAACTGCCCTTCACACGCATCCCTCTCTCGGGCGTTGGCAGAACTGGGTTTAGTGGAACCTGGTTAAATGATTTGTACTGGTGGGCGCCCCACCGTCTCATTTCGACTACCCGGAACTGCCGTCACCCGAAGAACACCAGTTACGGCAAACCTGGTTTAGTGAATCTGGCCAATGGAGGGGCCCCAGGGCCCTACCACTAACCGGGTCCCCTTACCCGGGGTCCTGGCTATACCCGCCTCTCCCCTCTCTCCAGAGTGAGGACGACTGTGGGCCTTACAAGTGAGAGGATCGCCGTGAGGCATCACGTCCCTCGACGCTTCCACCAGAAGGGGGGCTGCAGGGGCCGACCTGCTTCCACGAGGCTGGCACCGCAGGTGCAGTGCTGGGGGTGGCGGCCTATCTTGAAGGGGCCCCAGGACACACAAATAAATACACACAAATACAAATGTTCCCCATATTTTCCCATATGTTTTGGGTGTTTGTCTCCCCCACCCACTTCCCATATTTTTCAATATTTTCTGGGGGGTCCACGATTCATTGTGTCTGTGTTTTTTTTCCCATCCTGAGGTCTTCCCATCTCACCAGCATAAAGGAGATGCGAAGGCCCTGAAGACGGAACGTGGTGGGCACCAGTGGGTATCACAGCCCGCTGAAAATCCGAAGAGGATCATACAATGCGGGCGCGGCCGCAAGAAACCCTCGCAAGAAACCCAACCCTGAAAAAACCCGCGCACGAGGTGCAACTGAGGGGAAGCTCGGAGCACCCCGAACGCAGCAGCTCCTTCAACGGCCGCGGGAAGTCACCGCGCATCGCGCGGAGCGAAGAAACCCAGGGTACCCTGACGAAAAGTAGATGGTTTCTTGATGCGCGCCCCCACTGTAGTCTGATCATTGGCACTCCCCATTGGCATCCACTTCATGCTCAGCAGCATGCTCTCTTTTTCGGCTGCACGCACGGGTCACCCTGGGCAAGAGGCAACGATGAGACCTTTGGCGCGCGGGTTCAGAGGGGCGCGGGGGGGTCAAGCCCCCCAAGCGTGCATGCCGCTGCTGTCGTATCGCCTCCAACGAAAAGGGAATTCGAAAGCTTCGGGGCGCGCACAGTGCAAACAGACCCCCCCATCGGGGAGTCCCGGCTGGTCTCAGCAGGCCCCCGGAGCAGTCTGGGGCGGCTTCAACACTGGACGCGCGCGTTCCTCTGCTCGCAAAGTGACTACTCGCAGATGGCCTTCATCCACCGTGCGGGGTCTACGATAAATCACATCGAGGCAGGCAGGTTTCTTTCTGACGGTTGCGAGTAGGCACTTTGCGAGTAGTGGAACGCGCTCGGTGAAACATCCCAATCCTGGGGCGCGGAGCGCCCCAAGGGCGCCGCTGGAGGCGGCGCCGGCCGCTGGAGCCTCATCAGATCGGGGGGCCCCAGATGATCCGCACCAGAGGACACTCTGGCGAAGGGCCAGTCTTGCGCGTACTCCACCTCCTCGCTCCAAAGGCAGTGCGCCCAGGGGGAAATGAAGAAGGCGGGCCTTCTCAGAAGGCTCGGAAGTTCCCCAGCCCTCTGAGAAGCTGTCTAAGCCTTCCCCGAAGACGAAGAACAAATCTCAGAAGGCCATTGGTGCGGGCAAGATTCATGTCCATATCCAGTGCCTCTTGGACTTGTTTGGAAGCGGCGCCACAAGGCCGAGGCGCACTGGATATGGATAAAAATCGAGCCTCTAGGGGGCAAAGTTATCCATATCCAGTGCGCCTCGGGTTTCTTGGGAAGGGAGCCCGAAACTCCCTACTGCAGTGGATATGGACAGAAGTATGGCCCGCAATTGGGCCGTCTGAGAGCAATCGCCGCTTTCCGGGGCCTTCTCCTTCTCGCTTCTCCCCCCCTCTGCAGCCGCCGACCCACGGCCGCCTGGCAGGTCGGTGTGGACCAGGCGCGCCATCAGCTCCGGGAAGGAGGACCACCTGGCGCTCCGGGAGAGGGCCGCGGCAGCATCGGTCCGCGTGTGCCCTCGCCCTCCCTATTGGGCGCCCGAGTTATCCGGGGTAACTCGGGTCCCGGGTAACGCGGGTTTGGATTCCCGAAAAACGAACCCGAGTTAGCCCGGACCCGAGCTACCCCTGATGATTTGAGGCTCTGGACGCCCGACCGAGTTATCCAGGGTAACTCGGGCCCGGGGTAACTCGGGTTCGGAATCCCGAAAAGCGAACCCGAGCTAGCCCCGACCCGAGTTACCCCTGATGATTCGGGGCTCTGACCCTCCCCTCGGGAGGAGGCAGAAGGGTGATGGGGAGAGGGCGACAGTCGGCCACACGCAAGAGTGGCCCCGGGCAGGAACGACCTTTGGCGCGCGACCTCACAGAGGACCCGGGGTGGCCAGCGCAAGCCGCTGCTACCGCTTCGCCTTCAGCGATCGGGGAAGCCAATGGTGCCCGCACCGAAAGGTCACACTCCAGCGAAAGGTCACTCTTACTTGTCGTCGAGACAGAGCGCACAGGAAGATAAGGAGGCGGGCGGAGTCTGAGGGTTAGTTAGGCTGATGGCTGAGGACATGGAAGTCACGTTGATGCCAGGCTGCAGTAGGAGCTCGACCACAAGAGACCTTCCACAAGAAACCCAACCCTGAGACCCCATGACGTCCATTGATCTCTGGTGCGGGAAAGTTGCGCATCCCATCGCAAGACCATCGAAACCCAAGAAACCCAGGGCACCCTGGAGGCAAGCAGGGTGTTTCTTGGCGTGGGCTCCACTCTACTGCCCCCCCATCCGAACGACCCGAGATGGGGGAGAGGGAGGTGTACAGAAACATCGAATTGCCTTGGGCCCATCCCGCCACTGTGCGTGGATTGCGGGTCAGAGTCCTCAAGGATGCTTCGTGTGGCCTCTTCGGAGCGCCCTCGGGGGCCTTTGTGGGGCAGGTCTGGAGCCCCTGAAGGGGAGGCCTCTTAGGGGCCTCCTGGGGCTTCCTGTACTCGGATCCCCTCGGGAGGAGGAGGAGGAGGAGGAGGAGGAGGAGGAGGAGGAGGAGGAGGAGGAGGAGGAGGAGCAGGAGGAGGAGGGAGGAGGGAGGAGGAGGAGGGATGCTTCGTGGGGTCTCTTCGTGGGTGCTTCTTGGCATGGGCCTCCACTGCACGCCGCACCGCCGGGCCCTCGCCCCGCGGGGCCGCGGACGGCAGCACGCCCGGCCCACGGGGCCAGGCACCGGGCCGGCGCGGACCAGCACGGGGCACCGCGTCTCCGCCCGAGGCCTCTCCAAGGGCTCCCAGCTTCGCGCTTCGAGCTGCGCGAAGCGCGAAGTGCGGACAACTTCGCGCTCTCGCGCCGCCTCCCAGGGGGGAAGAGGAGGACGAGGAGGAATCGGAGCCGAACCGCGAAGCGCGAATAACTTCGCACCCTCGAGGGCGCCCTTGCCTCCCCAGGCCGTGGGGCAAGGCCCCCAGCTGACCATCACCATCACCATCACCAATGACCAGCATCGTCATGATCATCATTATCAGCATCATCATCATCTTCATCATCTACATCATCATCATCACCACCACCATCACCACCATCACCATCACCAATAATCATCATCATCATCATCATCATCATCATCATCATCATCATCATCATCATCATCATCATCATCACCATCACCATCATCATCGTCACCATCACCATCACCATCATCATCACCATCGCCATCGCCATCAGCATCATCAGCATCATCAGCATCATCAGCATCATCAGCATCATCAGCATCATCAGCATCATCACCATCATCACGGCACGGACATGGCGAACGAGCTCCAGCCTCAGGGCCAAGTCCAACCGTGGCGACGCAGAATCGCGAGGTGGCTGGGATGCGGGGGAGGAGGGGGAAGACGAGGGCGGCTCCTCCCCGTCGTCTGCACCCACCAGCCCCCGTCCATCCCCCTTTTTTGTCCTGCTCGGCCGCACGTCGGCTGTTTTCCCTGCGGTGGCCACCGGAGCAGGTGGGGCATGCGCGCGTAGTCCTGCCGACCCCTGCTGAAAGGTCATTGGGCGTCGGCTCCGGTCGGCGCCCCCTCGTCCGCATTATGTTCCTCTGCCTCCTCCACCTCCACCTCTTCCTCCTCCATCTCCTCCTCCTCCTTCTATTCCTCCGCCCCTCCTCCTCCAGCTGGTATTGCTCTTCATGCCCTTCTCTCCCCTCTCTCTCCTCCACCTCCTGCTTCTCCTCCTTCATACATCCGTCCACCTCCTCAACCCTCCTCCATACCCTCCTCATTCAACATGCTCCTCCTCCTACATACCCTCCTACATGCCCCTCCACCCCCCAAACGTCCCAGCAGGCGAACCGTTAACCACGCGACGGATGTCCCGATACCTCACAATGCTGGGGCGACATCGCAGCTAGATCGAAGCTGCAATGAGGCCACGTGAGACCTACACCGCAGCTACACCGCGGCGGTCTACGCTCGTCGCAGCCACAGCGTCAATATCTCACTGCAGCTGTGCTGCATCACCCCTCAACGAATCACCCCTCAACACATCACTGCATCGGCTATGCACCACAACGACATCGAGGCCCACGCGAAGTTCAGGGCAGCCCCCCAACGGCGCCACGATGCACGGCCCCCTCCAGTGGGGAGAATCCCTGCACGTTGCCGACCCATCAGCCGACACTCTCGCGCTTTTCCAACCACTCGGGCCGAAGAGACGTGGGATGAACCCACTACGAGCAGCGGCGCGTGTACAACAGCACGCAGCTGGCCCGAAAAGGCAGGCTCTAAGCATCCCAGGCGCTGTGGAATGAGAGTGTGAACGTGGAGCGTGCACCTGGTACCGCATGAGCCACATCCGCACACATGTGTCCCAACCATGCTGTGGTGTTGGGTACTCTGAAGAGACAACGAACCGCGTCACTGACCTCACTTCCGCCCTCCTCCCCCATCCTCCTACTCCAGCTCCTCCTCCTCCTCCTCCTCCTCCTGATGCTCCTCCTCATCCTCCTTATCCATCCGCATCACCGTTATCTGCATTAGCACTGGCCCAAACGACATCGGTATCTTGCTAACCTGGAATGATGATGATCACCATCATCATCACCATCACCATCACCATCACCATCACCATCACCATCACCATCACCATCATCATCATCATCATCATCATCATCATCATCATCATCATCATCATCATCATCATCATCATCATCATCGTCATCGTCATCAACATCATCATCGCCATCACCACTACCATCATCATCAACATTACCATACTCATCATCATCAACATCAACAACAGCCTTATCATCATCGTCATCGTCATCATCATCAGCATCATCCGCAACACCACCATCATATCAACATCTACATCAACATACACAGGATCAGCATCAGCATCCTCAACCTCATCTTCGACCTCATCCTCATCCTTCACATCATACTAATCCTCATCATCACCCTCATCATCGTCGTCATCGTCGTCAACGTCGTCGCTATAATCGGTGGATTCAGCACCCTGATGGTCATCATCATCATAATCACCACCATCGGCAACATCATATCCATCACCATCAACAGCATCAACATCATCATCTACATCATGGCATGTATGAGCATCACGACCATCATCATTAACCTCATCGTCATCATATGTACCCTCATCATCATCACCATCATCATCATCTTCATCATCATCTTCTTCAGCATTCTCAGTATCATCACCTTCAGCGTGATCACGATCATGATCATGAGCTTGATCATGGTCATGATCATCATCACCACCGCCATCACCATCACGCTTAACATCATGACCAACACCACCATGATCAGCAACATGATCCTCCTCCTCCCCATCATCATCATCAGCATCATCGTCATCATTATCATGATCACCATAATCCCACCACAATCATGATAAGCATCATCATCATCATCATCATCATCATCATCATCATCATCATCATCATCATCATCATCATCATCATCTCTATCCTCCTCCTCCTCCTCATCCTCATTGTCATGATCCTCATCCTCATCCTCATCATCAGCATCATCATCAACATCTTCATCATCATCAATCCAATCGTCGTTATCATCATAAACATCACCATCATCGTGATCAACAACATAATCAACGTCAATATCAACATCAACACCATCATCATCACCAATCACATCAGCATTATAATCACACGCTGCATGGGCTCTCAGGGAGCTCCGCCGAAGGCCCCCATTGCGCAAGTCACATGGTGGCGTCGCACCCGTGTCGCTACACCTCTTACACGTTCCGTGCCTCCATAAGAGAACTCCACCGGCGGCTCCAGTGTCGCAGTGAGCGTGGTGGCGTCGAGCCCATTTCGGCACACCCCTCACACGCTTCGTGACCCCACAGGAAGCTCTACGAAATTCCCAAGTTGCCCCAGTGGTGCAGTTCGCATGGTGGCGTCGGCCTCATGACGGCACTGAAGGGGCTCCAGGGCACACAAATAAATACACACAAATAAAACCAACAGGGCCCCAAGACAGCCCAAGAGGCCTCCAAGACGCCCCAAGGGCCTTCCAAGAGGCCTCCGAAGAGGGCCCCAAGAGGCCAAAATCGTTGAATTTCATTGTTTTTTCTATGTTTTTTGCGTTCTGGCTTTTTCGGCTTCGGGACGCTCCAAGACGGCCCAAGAGGCTCCCAATACCACTCCAAGACGGCCCACGAGGCTCCCAAGACGGCCCCGGAACGGCCCAGGAGGGCCCCCAAGACGGCCCAAGTGCCGCCCAAGACGGACCAAGAGGCCCCAAGACGGGCCGGGCCCAAGAGGGGCTCAAGAGGGGAACCGAGAACTGAAAAATCGAGCCCTCCGCCCCAGAAGGCGCCCAGGAGGCTCCAAAAAGGCCCCAAGAGGCCCCCAAGAGGCCCCCAAGACGCCCCAAGAGGCGCCCAAGAGGCCCAGAAGAGGCCCCAAGAGGCCCCAAAACGGCCCCCAAGAGGCCCCAAAACTCGGCTAGCCCACAACGGTGCGACAATATGGGCCGGCGGAATGAGCGAAGCGATTAAATAAATACACACAAATAAAAACAGTCCCCATATTTTCCTATATTTTCTGGGAGATTGATGATTAATTGTGTCTGTGTTTTTTTCCCTCCTGACGGCACACCCGTCACGCACTTCGTGGCCCCACGGGGAGTTCCATCGAAGGCTCGGCACGGCGGCGTCGCGCCCACTGCGGCATGACCCCCTATAGCACGCTTCGTGGCCCAGCAAGGGGCTCTATAGAGGAAGAGGAGGAGGAGGAGGAGGAGCAGGAGGAGGAGGAAGAGGAGGCGGACGAGGAGGAGGAAGGCCTGGAGGAGGAGGAGGAGGAGGAGGAGGAGGAGGAGGAGGAGGAGGAGGAGGAGGAGGAGGAGGAGGAGGAGGAGGGCCTGGAGGGGAGGAGGAGGAGGAGGAGGAGGAGGAGAGGTGGAGGAGGAGGAGGAGGAGGGGAGGAGGAGGAGGGGAGAGGAGGAGGAGGAGGAGGAGGAGGAGGGGGTAGCAGCAGGCAGAGCCAGTCGGCAGAGCTGATCGCGTCGAAGAAGGGACAACGCCATAACCAAAAACTTGTGGCGCTCCGCGCGGATCTCGTGGATCCGCGCCAGGGGCGCGCCGGAGGCGCCCCAGCGCGGATCCAAGAGATCTGCGCGGAGCGCCGAAAGCTCATGTTTTATGGCGTTGTCCCTTCTTCGACGCGAGCAGCTCTGCCGACTGGACCTGCCTGCTGCTCCCCCCTCCTCCTCCCTCCTCCTCCTCCTCCTCCTCCTCCTCCTCCTCCTCCTCCTCCTCCTCCTCCTCCTCCTCCTCCTCCTCCTCCTCCTCTCCTCCAGGCCCTCCTCCTCCTTCCTCCTCCTCCTCCTCCTCCTCCTCCTCTCCTCCTCCTCCTCCTCCTCTCTCCTCCTCCTCCTCCTCCTCCCCTCCTCCTCCTCCTCCTCCCTCCTCCTCCTCCTCCTCCTCCTCCTCCTCCTCCTCCTCCGCCTCCTCCTCCCGCCAAGGCTCCGCCAGAGGGCCTCTGGCGAGCGCGAGCCCGTGGCCCCACCACGGGCTCGCTCTCGGCCCTGCCTGGGGGGAGGGGGGGGCCCGGCGGCCGGCGCGAACCGCTCGCCATCCGTCAGGGAGGACCACCACCGCAGCTCCCACACCTCGGCGTCCTCCGCGAGGGGGGGCCGGGGGCAGCCATACAGGGTCGACCCTGCCAGATCAAGGGGACCCTCGCGGCGAGCCGAACGTCGAACTTCGACCCGAGCCTCCCCCTTACCGGTTTGGAACGATCCCCATCCCCATGCTTGGGGCAACCACACAGGACAGCGTTTCATACATAGGATTTTCAATACGTGATTCATTTATGAATTAATTTATGCTCTGAGTTCATCGTTGCTTTTGATGCTAAATCCCAGCATTTTTCATACATGATCCGCACGCGGAGCATGCATTAAAAACGGCACTGTCGGGTCGACCCTGCCAGAGCAAGGGTACCCTCGTGTCCTGTGTCTTGCGACCCCTGCCTCCTGCATACTTCTGTGGCAACGTGGCCCTCGCAAGGGTCTCGCGCCCTCTCGCGTGTCCTCTCCAATCAAGTCCGACGTAGGGATCAGTTCGAGACTGGTTTAGGGGAAAAAAAGGCATCAGCATAAAAACTCGGAGGTCCGCGAGGATTTCTCGGATCGGCGCTGGGGCTCCCCGGCGGCGCCTCCGGCGCCGCCCCTGGCGCGCTCCGCGCGCCAGGGAGGGGGGTCCAACGCCGATCCGAGAAATCCGCGCGGACCTCCGAGTTTTTATGTTTATGCCACTTTTTGTTCCCCTAAACCAGCCTCGAACTGATCCCTACAGTCGGACTTGATTGGAGAGGACACGCGAGAGGACACGAGACCCTTGCGAGGGCCACGTTGCCACAGAAATGTGCAGGAGGCATGGGTCGAAGACACAGGACACGAGGGTACCCTTGATCGGGCAGGGTCGACCTACTAAACCGGGCCGCCTGTATCCCTAAGATGGGCAAGCCAAAGGCAATGACAATCGTAGAGATAGGCCCTCAGAAACGGAGGGAAGCCTTGAGATCGGTATCGAGGCAAGGCGATGCCAAACATAGGGATGGGGATCTGCTCCAAACTGAAAAGGGGGAGGCTCGGTTCGAAGTTCGAAAGTCGGCTCGCCACGAAGGTGCTCACCGAGGGAACAGCAGCTGGGGGTTGCAGGACTTGCCATCGCTCGGACGTCCATTTCCTGTGCATTTTCCGGTTTCGTGCGTGTGTTTTTGCTCGATGGTCCAGGATGGTCCTCGATGGCTCTCGCCGAGAAAAAATGCACACGTCCGAGCGATGCCAAGGGGAGGGGGCGTTCCGTGGACACGATGGCACAAGGGTACAGGAGGAAGGGGAAGGAGGAGCAGCAGGAGGGAGGAGCTAGAGGGAAAGCGTGAGGAGGGGAGGGAGGGGAAAGATGGGATGGGGGAGTGAAGCTGGAGGAGAGACGTGGTACGGAAGGAAAGAGAGAAAGGGAGGACGGAGGTAGACTGGAGACCGCGACCGCAATCCCCAAAACCCGGAATTCTTTGTGTGAGGGTGCGACAGGGAAGGAGGAGGGAGGAAGAGGAGTGAGAAACTGGAGGCGAGGACCACCACGGCCGCGGGCGAGAGCGGCCGCTAATCACGGAGCCCCGGGCCCTTGTCCCTCCGAGGCGCCCCGGGGCCTCCCGTGAGGCAGCAGAAGATGCCGGGTGTGCAGAGGCGCGTGCGGGGTGGACGGGTGGAGGACTGAGATGACGAGCAGCCGATGTTATGTCGGGCGTGTCCCACTACAGGGAGATTTTCGACGAAAAATAAAAATACCCCAAAACTGCTTCAAAAAGGTAAAACACATAGTCCAAAAATAATAGTCTCCGGACTATGTGTGGGCTATTGTTTGGCTGTTTTTTGGGGGTATGTTTTATTTTTCGTCGAAAATCTCCCTGTATGGGGACACGCCCGACTTAAAGCTGATGGGAGGCAGAGGATGAGATCAGGCAGCGCAGGGCAGAGAAGGGCTAGGACCGAGGCCGATGCGGCGGGGTGCACACGTCGCGGTTCTTGCGTCCCGCCGCGGCGCCTGCCTTGCCGCCTCCTCCCCTGGCGAGCTGGTACGCCCTGGCTGCTCGCAAGCTTGCGCAGCTCGCAGGGCGAGCGAGCATGTGATCCGGAGGCCTGACCCCCGAGAAGCAAACTGTACCTGCGCGTGGGCCCGAACACAGTGGTGCTGTGGTCCTTGGTGACCTAGTGCAGCAGAGGCCGTGATAGGTCCCCACGCCGTTGTCGAGACTACTGGTCGGCGACAGGTGGGAAGCAAGGCAGAGTGAGGATAACCAAGGGCCAGGCTGAGGCTAGTGTCCCCGAAGCGGCCCAACAGATGCACCCAACTGGCCCCCTTCGGTGTCCGAAATGCCTCCAAGAAGCCCCCGAGAGGCCTCCCACGAGGTCCCAACGAACATCCAATAGGTCTCATGCCCACAACCCAGGCACGGTGCCGGGATGAGCCGAAGGCCATTCGATAAAGAGCAGGGAGCCTCTAAGAACAACACGCAGCTGAGAAAACACCAATTCTTCATCCAGTCCAGAATCCGCTCGATGTCGGCGCAGAGGCATTCCTTCTGGAGACCATTATGACGTCGAGCCGAGTCCCGCAACGCCGAAATGGGATTGGGATTGCTATTTTGGTGCCGTCCCTCCGCAGTCGCTCTCGCGAGCGCCAGGACACAGCCCGCTCGGGACGGGGGCAAGGATAAGTCATGACCTGCCCTCGGGGGACTGGGGAGGCGAGAAAAAAAACGAACGCACCACCACAGCGGACAGCTGTCCGGGCCTCCTGTAGACATACAGACATGCATTGGAACTGCGAGATATACAACAAATTATGAAACTGTGCAACACACCAAAAGTCCTAACGGAGACAGAGATGAGGAGGAGATCCTGATTGTAAATGTCGGCGAAGGGTTGATGAGGAGAGAGAAGGGAAGAAGGATGAAAGGCCCTCGGCCGCCTAAAGTGAGGCCGAAGATGGAAGTACATGGCCCATGGCGAAGGGCCCGGATGGGCCGAGAGGCCAGGATGCAAGGGTACCCTTGGAAATATGCTCATCCTTACATCCCTATTTGAGGCACGAAGGCACGGCAGAGGATGATGGAGGGGCGGCATCCCCTTCTTGACAAGGTACCCGTCGGTAGGAAGGAGTGGGTAGAAGAATCAAGTAGGAAGGCGGTGAAGTAGATTGGGCTTCCGCCCGCCCCCACGAGAGGAAGGGAGAAGGGAAACCACTCGACGCTTGACGTAGGAAGGCGGCTAAAGTAGATCGGGATTTGGGCAACCAGTATGAGAAGGACGCACGATAAGGATGCAAGGGCCTTGGAACGCCATGTCGACACTTTGCGAGCGGGGCACCGCAAGCTAAAGCGGCCAAGGGCCGAAGGGGAATGATATGAAGGGTAACCTTAGAAAGCCGCTCATACTTACGATGCGGATTGACTGTGTGACGTGAGTGGTGTGGCGAGCTTCCTCTTCCAACCCCCTTTCTCCCCCTTCAGGGGGGGGCTTATCACTGTTCCCATTGAATAGACACCCCCTCGCGCAGTCGACCGGCAGCAAACCAGGACCCATGCCAACACCCCCGCCCCACCGTTCTATCAGGTCGGGCCTGTCCCCCTACAGGGGAATTTTGGACGAAAATCTGCCGATCCGGCGTGTGAGTTTAAAGAATATACGCTGAAGCTCTGCTTCAGCATGAGCTTTCGCTCTGCTTGGGAGGGAGGGAGGGGGAGGGGGGGGACGTGTTTACCTGACGAATTATGTGCTCGGCACCTCCCCCCACACTGCCAGGGAGGGAGGGGGGGGGACGTTGACCTGACGAATTATGCGCTTGGCACCTCCCCCCATCCTGCCAGCTCCAAGGAGAGAGGGGGTGGTGTCAGGAGAGAGGGGGGGGGGGAGTGGGGGGGGGACAGGAGAGAGGGAAGGGGGGGACAGGCGAGAGGGGGGGGGCAGGAGAGAGAGGGGGGGGCAGGAGAGAGGAGGGGGGTGGGGGACAGGAGAGATGGGAGGGAGAGGGGGGGGGACAGGAAAGAGAAAGGGGGGGGGGAGACAGGAGAAGGGGGGGAGGAGGGGAGGGGGGGGACAGGAGAGAGGGGGAGGGGGGGACAGGAGAGGGGGGGGGGACAGGAGAGAGGGGGGGGGGACAGGAGAGAGGGGTGGGGGAAACAGGAGAGAGGGGGGAGGGAGAGGGGGGGGGGGGACAGGTGAGAGGGGGGGGGGGGACAGGAGAGAGGGGGAGGGGGAGGGGGGAAAAGGAGGGGGGGTGGGGACAGTAGAGAGGGGGGACAGGAGAGAGGGGGGGGGAGACAGGAGGGAGGGGAAGGGGGGAGGGGGTGGACAGGAGAGAGGGGGAGGGGACAAGTTAGGTGCGCTCGCGTCAACATCTGACATCCTACCCCTCCCTCCCATCCCTTACCATGGCGCTGATTTTCTCTATCCGCGGACGCGTGTCGTAGCGGACCTGTGGCTCCGCGCGCGTGTGCGTAGTGGGTGGTGGTGCGCGTGCGTGCGTGCGTGTGTGCGTGGTTGTGGTTGTTGTGGTGGTGGTGTGTATGTGTGTGTGTGTGTGTGTGCGTGTGTGCGCGTGTACTGTGGTGTGACGTGGTGTGGCGTCTTGGTGGTTTGGTGGTGGGCCAGGTGCGTACGTGCGTGATGGCGGTGGTGGTGGTGGTGGTGGTGGTGGTGGCGGTGGTGTGTGTGTGTGTGTGTGTGTGTGTGTGTGTGTGTGTGTGTGGTGTGTGTGTGTGTGTGTGTGTGTTGTGTGGTGTGTGTGTGTGTGCGTGCGTGCGTGCGTGCGTGCGTGTGTGTGTCTGTGTGTGCGCGCGTGTTATGTGGTGAGACGCGGTGCAGCGTGGTGGTGGTGGGTGGGGTAGTGCGGTGGTGGTGGCGGTGCGCGGTGGTGGTGCGCGTGCGTGCGTGCGTGCGTTGGTGGGTGGAAGTGGCGGTGGGTGTGCGTGCGGCGGGGCGGGGCGTGGTGCGGCGCGGTGGTGGCGGGCGGATGGGCGCGCGAGAAAGAGGCCCGCGCTGGGGCGAGAACGCCATCCTGAACGACGGAGGCCAAACACCGATCCGAAAATGAGGCCCACGCTGCAGCGGGAGCACGATTCGGAACGATTCGGGAGCAGAAATGAGGCCGGCGCCTCAGCGAGAGCAGCATTTTGACAAAAAACGCAGGCGAAAACCCAACTCCCGGGAATCCTGTGTAAAAAACCGTACGCGGGGGGGGGTCTACTACTTTCAGGCCGCCTTCGGGGGAAGAGGGAGAGAAGTATTCATATTGAGTGATTGTCAAGAGAGAGAGGGAGAGAGAGGGAGAGGGAGGGAGGGGAACGGAGAGAGTGTCGGGAGCGGCCAAGAGGGGGGTGTCCAAGAGGGGGGGGTGCAAATCATGACCAGCGGCATGTGCGCGGCCCAGCGGGGGGGGCCTGGGACGTAATGAAATAAGAAGAGGCGCCACGAGATCTGGGGAAATATCATGGCCCACGCCATGATATCCACCCCCCCCTAGTCATCACCCCCCTCTTTGCCGCCCCCGAGAGTGGGGGCGGCGGTGGGAGAGGAGAGGGGGTGGGGACAGGAGAGAGGAGAGAGGGTGAGGGGGGCGGGCCGGGATCATCACCATCACCATCACCATCACCATCGTCACATCACCACCATCATCACAATCACCATCACCATCACCATCACCATCACCATCACCATCACCATCACCATCACCATCACCATCACCATCACCATCACCATCATCATCATCATCATCATCATCATCATCATGAGCATCGTCACCATCACCATCACCATCACCATCACCATCACCATCATCATCATCATCATCATCATCATCAGCATCACCATCGTCATCATCATCATCAGCATCATCATCATCATCAGTATCGTTAATTATCATCATCATCACCATCACCATCAGCATCATCATGAGCATCGTCATCGTCATCGTCATCGTCATCGTCATCGTCATCATGATCATGATCATCATCATCATCATCATCATCATCATCATCATTACCATCACCATCACCATCACCATCACCATCACCATCATCATCATCATCATCATCATCATCATCATCATCATCATCATCATCATCATCATCATCATCATCATCATCATCATCATCATCATCATCATCCGGAACACCCCGGATCGGCGGCACTGGCCGGAGGCCACTACAATAACAAAAATATTCAGACATATTCAGAATATGCCCAAACATACTCAACAACAAAATCCCCAGACTATCTTTTTACTATTTTTGAGTACACCCCATGTAGAGGGTCAGGCCCGACTTAATTCCAGTCAAAAACACCGAAACAATACACTCTGCCTCCAAACGAGGCCACTACAATGAAAACATATTCAAACATATTCAAAATGTGCACAAACATAGTCAACAAAACAATCCCTATACTAATTTTTTTTTACTGTTTTTGAGTATTCCCATGTAGAGGCTCAGGCCCGATTGAATTCCAGCCGAAAACACTAAAACAATACACTCTGCCTCCGAACGTGGAGCATGTGCGGGCGCCTCGCCAAGGCTTTGCACTGGCACTTGACAAGCACGTCGGGGGGGGGGGCTCCTACTGCCTGCCGCGCGCAAGCCGACCACCCCTGCCCACAACACCATACAGAGTACGCTTCGCCTCCAAAACTGAAATATTAGAGGCAAACAAACCTACCTCGCTTTTGACCACCCTCGCTTCCAATAGATACCAAGCGATGTCAAACTACGGCATGTACTGGTCAGGCCGCTTGACGAGGAGGCGTATGGTATGACTTGGTTTTGCCTGGAAGCGAAAGCGGGGTAGGTAATTCACGCTCTGAAATATGCGCTGGCACCCCACGACCACTTTGCATTGGATTGCGACAGGGACTGCCGGGGGCGCCTGATGCGTTGGGAGGGAGGGTTGAGGGTTGGAGTGAGCGAGACGGCTTGCGCCTTATGAGCAGGAGGTATCTTGACCCATCCGCCGAATGACCCCCTCCCCTCGACCTGGAGGGGATGGGCCGCAGCCGATTAAAGCGTCCAAGAAGGCCTCGGCGAGAAGGCAACAATCGTTGATGTTCCTTAGGTTTTGAGCGAAGTTTGGCAGGATCGAATCTATCTAAGATGGCACTGAGAGTGCCCTAACAGAGGACCAGGAGGCCCCCCCAAGATGTCCCCGATTGGCTCCAAAGAAACGCCCAAAGGGCCCCAAGAGGGTTCCCCGAAGCACCCACGGCGCTCCAAAAAGCATCCTGGATCGCCAGGCGCCCCAAAGATGCCCCAAGAGTATCCCAAGGAGCTCCCAAGAGGCATCCGAAGAGACTCCGAGAGGCATCCAAGAGGCCTCTGGCCAGTGTGCTCACCCTCCTCCTCCTCCTCCCTCCTCCTCCTCCCCTCCTCCTCCTCCGATGACTCCTCCATCGTTCCCCCTCTTGGGGTAGGACGGCTTCCCCAACGCTTTATTCCACTGCGTGCTCCTCAGGGCAACTCCCTTGGGCATGGCTTCTGGATGGTCTGGTGGGGGTACGCGAACCGTCCAGACTTGGGGTTCCCAAACCGGTGCGGTCTCAGACCGTGCGGTGGCCTCGAACCCTCGAAAGACCTCACTGCACGGTCCGCCACCGCGCGGTTTCGGCCCTGGGTGGCCGCACTCGCCAGAAACATCTTCGCAAAAGCAACCCAAAGAAAACCGCGCGGTCAACCCGAATCCCAACACGGTGTGGTCACTACGCCGTTTGGAGCCCACGGCTGACTATCTCTTGCTCGCTCATGGTGGACGCTGGGGCCCGGGGAATGCGGCAAGGAGGAGGAAAGGAGCAACACAGGGTGCAGAAAGATGCAGGGAGCCATGGCGATTGGGAGGTGTCCTCTGTCCACATGCAGCCCAGCTCGTCGGCAGGCACGGTCCAACCAGGTCGCGTCCGTGCGAAGTCCCTGAGGTTCGTGTATCCCAGCCTCAAACAGCGGGCTCTCGAAATGGAGGGCGCTTGGGAATGGGTGGAAAGCAGCAGGAGGAGGAGCAGGCGGAGGAGGATGAAACGAAGCGAAGCGAAGCAAAGCAAAACGAAACGAACGCCGGATTCGTGCGCGCTTCCTTGGGGAACCCGCCCGTGCCCGTCATGGAATGGCGTGGAGACCATTGTTTCAAATATGTGATATGTAGGCGGACTCACGTGGTAACCATCATCCAGCGCACCCGGAGGCTGATAACCATAGCAAGACGTTTGACATGTTGTATCCGTGTTGTGTTGGGACGGTCGCTGCCCGCATATGATTATGCCCCGTGTCGGCGTCGCAACAGTACCTATTCAAGCTGTGGAGAAATTTCTGGACGTCGTCGTCCCATGTCTTTGGGTGCCCTTCATCTTGCTGGCGCCCGCGTGGTCCTGTGGATAAAATCGGGCCACAAAACATCGCCATCGTTCTGTATAGTGCCCGGTTGCGTGTCATCATCGTTGTCGTCGTCGTCGTCCTAGGGAGTCGAGCTCACGACCGGTCGACTCTCGGGCAGTCTTCGCGTGACCGATATGCCCGTTTATCTCCTTCACCGGACAGGCGAAGGCATTGGTAATGCTGGTTAGTTGGGGCACGAGCGCCTGGGGCTGGCCAGCGCGTTGTCTAGCCAGAGCAGCACCCAGCTCGCGGAAGGAAGTCGCCTCGTTGAGTGGGCTCATCATTGGGAATGTCCAAGGGTTTAGGTCTGTAAGGGAGCTCGCAGGGGCGTCAGGAGGGCCGTCTTAGTCGCTCGTCGCCGTGGGCCTTGGTTCGCCCATTTTCAAAACGTTTCCGAGGTGCGCGAAATTACCGAACCAGATGTTCTTTGCACCGCGGGCCCAGCATGACTCTCATCTGTCCGATGGCAAACGGCACCCTAACACGTCTGGGCATATGTCGACATCGACTCGCACAATGTAGCTTAAAAAAAACATGCACAACAACGCCGCGCGTGATGATATGGTGCACTCAAACGGGCCAGTGCTACTGGCAAACGATTGGGCAAATCAGCGCCCGTCGAACACAGCCGCGTTTACGACCAGACATGGGGGCCCACAACAGGTCCGCGTTCCCACGATATGTTGTTGGACGCCTGCAGTGCAAGCACCGCCGCCGTAGCGCCGGAACTGACAAGACAGCCTGACGTCGATGTCTCTACGCAAGACGGCCCAACGCTGCTGCGCGCGCGGCAGCGTAGAGGCTGCCCCCGCTGCATTTCCCCACGCGCGCCGGCCCGGCGCCGCCGCGCGAGAGACGGCGCAAGGGCCACTCCCGCTGCGTATTCCGCGTGGGGCGACCCGGCGCCGCCGCGCGCGCAACGGCGCGGAGGCCGTCTCCATTGCGGTTTCTTTGCGCAAGCAGCCCAGCGCCGCCGCGCGCGCGACGACGCACAGGTCGCCACCGTTAAATTTCTCCGCGCGCGACGGCCAAGCGCTGCCGCGCGCACGGCGGCGCAGGAACGGTTCGCGCTGCGTTTCTTGCTCGCGACGGCCCCAGCCCGCCGCGCGCGCGGCGGCGCAATGGCCGCCTCCATTTGCGCTTCTCCACGCGCGACGGCCCAGCGCCGCCGTGCGCGCGCGGAAACGCAGGAGCCGGTCTCGTCACGTTTCTCTGCGCGCGGCGGTCTAGCGCCGCCGCGCGCGCGGAGGCGAAAGGGCCGCCGCCGCTGCGTTTCCCTGCGCACGCCAGCAAAACGCCGCCGCGCGCACGGCGGCGCTGTGGCCGCTCGCGCTGCGCTTCTCCGCGCACAACGGCCCAGCGTCGCCGCGCGCGCGGTGGCGCAAGGGCCGCTGGCGCTGCGATTTCCGCGCGCGACGGCCCAGCGCCACCGCGCGCGCGGCAACGCGCAGACAGCTCCCGTTGCATGCGACCGACCAGCCGAGTGCGCGGCGGCGCAGAAGCTGTTCTCGTCGCGATTCTTCGGCGCGCGGCGGCCCAGCACCGCCGCGCGCGCGGCGGCGCAAGGGCCGCCTACATTGCGTTCCTCCGCGCGCGACGGCACGGCGCCCCCTCGCGCGGCGTCGCAGAACAGCTCGCGGCGAACTGTGCACAAAAGAGGTGCCCGCCTGAGTTTGACCTCGGGATGGCCCCTTCAAGAGGAACTCTCCACTGAGGTACTGGCCCCGCCGCGCACTTGAGCCAAAATGGCAATGGAAGGGAGGGAAGAGGAGGAGGAGGAGGAGGAGGAGGAGGAGGAGGAGGAGGAGGAGGAGGAGGAGGAGGAGGAGGATGGAGGAGGAGAGGAGGAGTGGAGGAGGAGGAGGAGGAGGAGGAGGGGAGGGCGGAGGAGGAGGAGGAGGAGGAGGAGGAGGAGGAGGAGGAGGAGGAGGAGGAGGAGAGGAGGGGGAGAAAGAGGTGGGCAGCAGGGGGAGCAGGTGGGGGGGGAGGAGGGCAGGGGGGGAGGGAGTGGAGGGGGGGGGATCGGGGAGGCGGCCTGATCATGAGGGGCAGCAGGCTCTCGCTGGGGACGAGCAGGGGGAGGCCCATGCCGTACAGCTCGTAGAACACGATCTGCTGCGGGTCGTAGGGCAGCACGACGGCCGCCCGGTGGCGCGCCCAGTTCGACCTGGAGGCTACGCTTCTTCATCCCCTGGTCTGCGCGGGCTCCTCCCTCTTCCCCCCCTCGCGCTCCAGTCTTGGGCGCCCGAGTTATCCGGGGTAACTCGGGTTTGGATTCCCGAAAAAGGAACCCGAGTTATCCCTGACCCGAAATACCCCTGATGATTCGGGGCTCTGGACGCCCGAGTTATCCGGGGTAACTCGGGTCCGGGGTAACCCGAGGTATCCCTGACCCGAGTTACCCCTGATGACTCAGGGCTCTGACAGTCCTTTTCGCCCTCGTCCCTCAACTCGCTCCCGGTGCACCCCCCTGACTGCTAACGGGCGTCCGGCTGTCCTGGGCCACGTGGCACCCGCGGCCATAAAAAACAAATGTTGCTACCCTCTCGTGTGAAACGGTCGACATCCAGGCCAAATCCCCACCGCCCTCTCCGGCGATCGGTAACGAACGTACGTGTGGTGGGGCCTGGACCCCCCCCCCCTCCGTGCTGGTGCTCGCGCGCATACCATGGCGATCGCAACGCACCGGTCCGCCCCGATGCACGCCATGCTCTCCGCATGACCGCTACCCCCGCGTACGCACCGCTTCCAGAAATAGCAAAAACAAGATCACGGGACCCACAGAGCGGAGAGGGGAAGGGAAGATCGCAGATCAAATATTTTGCTGCAGCTCGAGGGCTTGAGATGGCCTCGCGAACTTTCTGGGGGCCGCCTGGGAGGGCGAGGGGGGCGGCGGGGAAAAGAAGGAGAGGGGAGGAGGAGGAGCAGGCGGGGACGAGGGTAAGAGTAGTGGGGGTGAGGGTAAGAACAGAGGGTGGGAGGGGCAGGCAGGAAAGAGAGGGAGAGACAGGACGGCGAGGGAGGGAGAGACAGGAAGGAAGGGGAGGGAGGGACAGTAAGAATGGAAGGGGGGTAAGAATGGAGAGAGGGGCGGGAAGGAACGGGAGAGAGGGGAGCGCAGGGAAGAGCAAGGGGGAAGGGCAGGAAAGGGACAGGGGGCGGAAGCCTGGGCGAAGAGCATCTACCCCCTTGCCTCGCTCTCTGCCTGCTCTTACCCCCCCTTCCTTCTTCTCGTCCTCCTCCCGATCGTCGTACTCGTCGCTCTCGCAGTCCGCCTCGTCCTGCTCTTCATCCGCCCTCCTCAATGCCACTCCCGCCCTCCTCCCGCCTTCTCGTCCTCCCTCCTCCCTCCTGCTACCCCCTTCTCTTCCTTATCCACCTCTGCCCCCCTGCTGCTGCTGCTGCTGCTGCTGCTGCTGCTGCTGCTGCTGTTGCTGCTGCTGCTCCACGTCCCCCCCGTAGAGAGTGAGACGACGGAGCAGTGTGGCAAGACTGGAGAGGCAATTAAGAAGTTAGCAGCCCCCGCCCCTCCCCCTACCCCAGCCGCCCTCCCACTTCGCCTGGGCCTGCCCTCCCTTCCCAGTGTCTCATCGCGATGGCGGGTGCACCGCTGCGTGGTCCGCCTCCTCTTTCCTAGGCAAGCCGCAGAGCGAATGTTCCTCCTCCTCCTCCTCCTCACTTCCCCCTCCGTTCTCATCACCGACTTCGCCCTCAAACTCGTCATCATCGTCGTACTCCGCACACCAACGACGACGCGCCTCCTCCCAAGGAACGACCTACATACTGCTTTCCGTTGTTGTGCTGTTTCGATGCTCCCACGTCCTGCCTTGGTTCCGCCTTTGCTGCAAGACGAGACCAAAACCAAAACGGTCCACGAAATCGCCAGAACGCGGTTGATCGGCGGCGAACACAAATGGAACTCAGAGGGGGCGGGCCTTCTCAGAGAGCTCGGAAGGACCCGGCCTTCCGAGGAGCGTTCTGAGCCTCCTCGGAAGCCACCGAGGGATTCTCAGACGTCCATGGGACTTCTGAGAAGCTCCACCGCCTTCCTGGCCATCGCTCGGACGTCCATTCCCTGTTTTTTTTTTCTGTTTCGTGCGTGGCTTTTTCCCCAAATGATCAAGGATGCTCCTCGATGGTCCTCGCCGAAGGAAAAGTGCACACGTCCGAGCGATGCCAACCTTCTGACAAGGCCCGCTCCCCCACCCACTTCCGCCCTGGGCACGCCGCCGAATCGAGCCCCGCCTCGTCCCGCCGATCTTGGAGGAACGAAACACTGCTAACCAGCCTCGAAGTTATCCCTATCCCTAAGATGGGCGAGCAAACAGCGAGGACACTCTTAGGGATAGGCCCTCAGAAACTGAGGGAATCCTTCAGATCGGCATCGAGGTGAGGTGATGTCAAACACAGGGATAGGGATGTGTTTCACACTGGTAAACTGCACAGACACAAACTTTCGGAGGGCCGCTGGAACCCGCTCCCTGGCGCGCAGGAACGCGCCACGGGCGCGCTGGAGGCGGCGCAGGGGGGGGCCCAGCGCCGATCCGAGGAATATCCGCGCGGACACCCGAATTGTTCGGCGGCGGACGAACCTCCCTTTTGTACACCTCCCCTTAGTGAAAGCGGCCTGGGACCGAAACCGACGGACCTGGACCCGCAGAAATGACGGCCGCGGCGCCCTCTCGCGATCCGAAAACGACCGATTCCTGAATCGACGTGTCAGGGTAGGAGGTCCGTCCACCCCCGAGAGTTGTATGCTTCTGCCACTTCTCGTTCCCCTGCTGCCTCCTCCTTGGACGCCCGGAATGGGCACGGAAACAATGGGCACAATGCCCAACAGCAAATGTTGTCCGAACCAACAGCGGCCGCTGTTGAGCAGCCGGCCCTCTGTCTCGAATGGACACAGGCCGCGGCGGCGTGGGCAGCGAGTCCTGTTCAAAATGAGCAGGAACTGCTGTTGGGCATCGTACCCATTCTTTCCGTACCCATTTCGGGCGTCCAAATCCTCTTCCCCCCTCCGGCTCTCCGGTCCTCCCGCCTCCCGCCTCCACAGTTACACAATATGAGTGCTGCTCTCCTCTCTCCGCGCACGACGTCCAGGGAATTCTCGGCCCCCCTCCGCGCATTGTCTTCTTTACACGCGGGATTCCTGGGAAAGGGGCTTTCGCTGTAGTTGTTTTTCGACATGTTCTTCCCGCTGCAGCGCTGGCCTCATTTCCGCGCTTCCGCTCGTCCCGAGTCGTGCTCCCGCTGCAGCGCTGGCCTCATTTCCGCGCTTCCGCTCGTCCCGAGTCGTGCTCCCGCTGCAGCGCTGGCGTTATCATTTCCAGCGCAGCACCACGGCATGGTTCCAAACAGGCCCCAATATCTAGAACATGCCTTCCCGAAAAAAACCATCGGAAGTGATTCCACATACGGTGCCGATTCGTTGATTGTTTGGACCGCAGACGTCGCCACGCCATGCTGTCATATGCTATGCCATGCTGCGACATCCGATTGTGCGAATGAAGAGGATACCTACGCCACGGTAAAGGAGGAGAGGGAGGGGTAGGACGTCAGATAGGACGCCAGCGCATCTAGCTTTAGGTTCGGCAATAGCGACTATAGGCGGTCCACCACCATGTCGCGCGAAGAATTTCAAACTCTATAAACACTGTGTAAAATCTCCCAGCCCAACCAAGCGAAACTCTGAAGCTCTAGAAACACTTGCAAACATATCTAAGCCAAAACCTGCGAACATCGCAAACTCTAATAACAACTTCCAGAAATCTCAAAAACCAAACAACGAAAATGTCAAATTCAACAAACACTTCAAAACACATCTAAACCGGAACCTGGGAAAATCTCAAATTAAACTTGAAGCCGTAACTCCAAAACACAGTTAAAACAAACTACGGAAATACGTTGGGGAAGCTCTGAAGCAACTCAAAGCGCCTAAAAACTGCAACAAATAGCTAAACATAGTTGAACCAACTCTAAGCGCCTGAAAGCTCAATTCTATACCAATCCTAACATACTATGAAAACTCTAAACTGACCGCCTGACGAACTCCAAACAAATTGTGGGACAACTCTGGAAAACAAAGCTCTATATGCAAACCCCAGCAGCCTAGGAAACTTAAAACAAAACTTCCAACAACCTCTAAAAACAATATGACAGCCGAAACATCAAGCATATGTTGTTCAATCTCTCTGCTTCAAGTTGGGTTGAGTGTTTCCAGGTTTTGGCTTGAGTGTTTCCAGGTTTTGGCTTGGACATGCTTTGAAGTTTTTGTTTATGTTCGAGATGTTCGCAAGGTTTGGCTCATATGTTTTTGAAGAGTTTGGGGAGGTTGAGTTTCCTGCTGAAGATTTCCCGAAGATTTCGGAAAGTGTTCTCGACGGACCTCTTGTAATAGCCGAACATAAATCTAGCCATCCCCCCTCCGGTCCTCCCCCCCGCTCCCGCTCCACTCTTCCAGTCCTCCCGCGCTTTCGTGCCTCCAGTCGCCTCTGCAGCGTCCCGCCGCTTGCTCGACGGACGCCTGCTCGCTTGGGTCCGCAGGCAAAACAGTGACCCTGCTGCCTCCTCCTCCTCCTCCCCCTCCTCCTCCTCCTCCTCCCCCTCCTCCTCCCCCTCCTCCCCCTCCTCCTCCTCCTCCTCCTCCTCCTCCTCCTGCCTCCTCCTCCTGCACCTCCTCCTCCTGCTCCCCCGGAGGAGTCCTGAGGAGGAGGAGGAAGAGCAGCTCCGATCCAAGGGGGGCCGACCACGACTTGTCCGCGAGGTCGGCCATCCTCACGAACGACCAGCCCGTCGCGTTGTACCGCCGCGCGCGGGGGCCCACGCCGGCGGCGTCCTGCCGCGGCCCCCACATGTTGCCCGCCTCCTGCTCCGTCACCCCCGGAGTCCACCCTCCTCCTCCCTCCCTTTGCCTCCCTCCCCCATCCCTCCTCCTCCCGCCCACCTTCCTCCTCCATCCTCTCCCTCTCCACCATCCTTTCTCCACCCTCCCTCCTCCTACATCCTCCGTCCCTCCCTCCGTCCCTCCTTCGCCCTCCCTGCAGTCAATGGGCTCCTGTTGGTCGTGAAATTCGAACGAGCATAATAAGCCGGGCTGAAACATGCTTCAACGTTTGGTTCTCAACCTCATTGCATTCGCGGCCGCTTTGGCTCCAGTGGCGCGCTCCCAGAGCGCGCCGTGGCGTGGGCGGATGCCAACTGTGGACCGACGACCGACGACCGAGACGGCTACGACCGACGACGACGACCGACCGACCGACGCTCGACGACCGGACCGACCGACCGACCGACCGACCGAGAAGACGACGACCGACGACGACCGATTGACCGATCAACCGACCGACCGAGACGACAAGCGATCACGTTCGGACCGACCGGACGACCGACCAGGAAGGCAACGACCGACGACGACAGACCCACAGACCGACTGACCGACAGACGAATGCGCGGACTGACCTGGCTTGGGAGCGAGGCGCGGATACAACGCTGGGACCCACGTCCCCCAGCCGTACACGGCGTGAGTTCCAGCCATGCACGTTTACCCAGCGCGAGCGTTCCAGCCGCACACGGCGTGGAATCCAGCGATGCACTTTTGCCGAGCGCGAGCGTTCCGGCCGCGCATGGCGCGGGCTCCAGCTACGAATGTTTACCGAGCGCAAGCAGTCCAGCCGCGCACGGCAGACTCTCACTAGCAGATTACTCCACTGACTGTAATTACCTCGCTCCCTCCTGCTTTCTCCCTCCCTCCCTGATCCTCCCTCTCTCCCCCCTCTTGCTCCGCCCTCCGCTCTGTGCTCGCAGCATTCCGCGCGCTCATTTGACCGATGCGGATCGGCACTCGCAGAAGCCCGCAAGCCCGTTTGATCGACGAGCGGAACAGTGGCAACACAATGATGGAGCAGAAACTCCACATCCTTCTATGTGTCCGCCTCCTTATCTTCCTGCTGGATCCGCGACCCTCCTCCTGCTCCTCCTCCTCCTCCTCCTCGCTCCCTCTCCTCGTCCTCCTCCTCCTCCTCCTCCTCCTCGCTCCTCGTCCTCGTCCTCCTCCTCCTCCTCCTCCTCCTCTGCCCCTCCCTCCCCACCCCTTCCCCTCCTCCACCGCTAGACCCCCGCCCGCCTCTCCTGGCCTCCTCTAGAAAGGTGCCCAGGGGCACACACAAGAAATATGCACACACACACACACACAGCAAGACTACCCACATGTTCTATCACACTTTCTTGGTTCTCGCATTTCCCACCACCTCCGATATTTTCCCATTTTCCTGGGGATCGGCGATGGCTTTTCCCGTGCCTTTCCCCCTCCTGATCGTCCTCCCGCTCCCCTTGAGCAGGGACCGCCCGTCCCGGCATTCGTATAGTCCTACCACGCAATGTTCTTAGAACCCAAAACTGCTCTTAGAACAACAACCATGTTCTTAGAACATGAGCCCGATGTGTTAAAACAGGACGCTCCCAGCCAGAAATGCTCTGAGAACACTTCGTTTGGGAACCACAATAGGTTCTTAGAACATTGTTTTTCGTAGGGCTGTAGGCGAGCCAGGACGCTTCGCCACTGTTGGGCGCCCGAACTATCCGGGGTAACTCGGGTCCGGGGTAAGTCGGGCTTGGATTCCCGAAAAACGAACCCGAGTTAGCCCTGACCCGAGTTACCCCTGATGATGTGGGGCTCTGGACGCCCGAATTATCCGGGGTAACTCGGGTCCGGGGTAACTCGGGTTCGGATTCCCGAAAAACGAACCCGAGTTAGCCCTGACCCGAGTTACCCCTGATAATTCGGGGCTCTGACAGGCCGCCCTGGAAGGGGACCTGCCAAACCAGAACGCCGGCCCGCCCGAGCCAACTGCGGCCGTGGGCCGAGGCACACGGTCCGCTGCGGCGCCCTCTCCGGCTGCTCTGGTGGTGCCCTGACTTCCCCCTGCCACGCCGTCCGCTGGAGCGCCAGCCACCCTTCCCCCTTCCCCAGTCGGGGAGACGTAAGACTCGGGTACGGAGACGTAAGACTCGAGTACGGGCCGAAGCACGCTTCGCTGCTGCGCTCTCTCCAGCTGGTCCGGTAGTGCCCGGACTCCCCCTGCCACGCCGTCCGCTGGCGCGCCAGTCACCCTTCCCCCTTCCCCAGTCGGGGACACGTAAGAGTGACCCTGGGTAAGAGTGACCTTTGGTGCTCGGCTCTTGGGGGGCCGCGGGGAGGCCAAATCCAGTCGCGCTCGCCGCTGCTACCGCTTCGCGATGGGCCATCTGGGGGCCCATCTGTGCCCGCACCAAAGGTCACTCCGGCGAAGGGTCATTCTTACGTCTAGTCGACCCAGTCGGGGAGACGTAAGGCTCGGGTACGGGGAACTCGGGTTGGCCCGACGGGGCCATCACAAGAACGACGAGACCCCATCTGGAAGTCGACGCGAACTCCCGCTGCAAGCATCCCACGAAGACCGGACCGCACAAATCCAGGACGCGCTCGTAAAAAATAGTCGGCTACCCCAAGTCCCGGCTTTCTCGAGTCTTACGTTTCCCCGACTTTTCTGCGCGGACGCGGCCCGAACGTATCATCACGGGCTTCCCCTACGCGATCCCCGCTGCGTTGGGCATCGCCGCCTGCCGCGTCAAGGTCCTCTCGTCCAGGCACTCTGGCGCCGTCAGCTCCCCCGCGTCGTTGTACAGGCGCAGGCCAATGGCCACGCGGATGATCTTGTCCAACGAGCTTGTGGATCGAAAGGGGTTCCATGTGGTACCCAAGGCCAGCTGCTCCTTCAGCCCGTCAAGAGTCTTCGTCCGCTGGGCATGAACAGGGTAACTTTTGATATTATCCCTCGAAAGGGGCCACGTCCCAGGTACATATTTGAACTTCGTGACGTACTTCACATACGTTTCATCAGACGCCAATGCCGCACCATCTGCCATATCATTCCACGAAGTTTGTATGGCACTAATGTAACGATCACACGTGTCTGGGTGTGCAGACACATAGGCTAGCACTGCAAGGAATGTTTCCATGCACAACAACCAATTAATGGCGTGAGGGACAGGCAAACTTCCGGCTTGCGCTGCGGGGCAGATTACCTTTTCCCACACGCGCAACAACCGATTTGCGATATCAATGCGCATGAACTCTGCGCAAACACCCTTACGTTGGATGGCGATTTCCTTGTGTTTGATCCAGATTCTGATACCCTTGGATATGATTGTCCCCCCAACGCCTGCAATGGAAAATAGCTCTCCGCCCCCATAGGCGACGACATACGCGTTTCTCGCGGCTCCGGCTGAGGCTGAGGCCATCTTTATCTGCTTAAGCGTTGGCTCTCGTGTGAGAGACCTGTTCTGCACATGGGTAGCTTCCTGGCCCGATGCAGTCGAATGGTCATCGTCTTGGCTCCCAGTCTGACTCTGCAAACCCACTTCGTCGACAAACTCTCCCTGCCGCGCCGCGGCGACTGGGGCCGTGCACGCACCGAGGAGCAGCAGCACAGGCAATCCACGAATCGCCATCGCTTCGCGCACCACCTCTGTGCGCCGAGGGGCGCCTTTCTTGTGCGAGAACGGCTAGGAGCAGCCCAGGCGGCCTCAACGCGATGCCTGAGCAGCTCGAACCAAAATTGACGAGGGTAGGGGGCAACACACACCTACCTCGCTTTTGACCACCCTCGCTTCCAACAGATACCAAGCGATGCCAAACTGCGGCCTGTACTGGTCAGGCCTCTTGACGAGGAGGCGCGTGGTATGACTTGGCTTTGCCTGGAAGCGAAAGCGGGGTAGGTAATTCACGCTCTGAGAGGGACAGGAGGTGGAAGGATGGGGGGACGTTTGGCGGGGACCAGCTCCAGGGGACCGGCCTGTAGATCGGGGATGGGCCCCGAGAGCGACTTCGCACGCTCCTGGGCGGCGCGGGCTACCAGGCCCCGATCGGCGACTAATGGGCGATCGGGGGTAACCAACCTATCCCCCCATGACGTCGCCGCCGAGTCGTCTGGCTTTCGGATCACACCTCGGGTTCTGGCGGCCGTTCGGGACGGTCCGAGCACCCCAGGGCCCAGGATGCCCCTCGGCGAGGCGCAACTGCTTGCAGGCATCCCGAGGCTGGGAAACCGACGAGAACCAACGACACCGCCCGAAAAACAACCGTTGTCCCTGAGAATGGCGACGGGGTGCGTAGTCCTCCGCTCTCGCGAGACTCGCGGCGAACTGGTTCAGGATGCAGGGCACGTCCCAGGCCATAAATCCGCCAGGCCGCCCCAAGATAGGCCGAGCCGGCGGGCGTCTGAATTTGGTAGCAAATCAGCTCACATAGAGGGAGGAGTGTCAGCAAAGGGGGGAGGGGGGTGTCGCGAAGGAGGGTCAATTAGCGGACCAGCCCCTCCTCCTTCGCCTCCTCCTCCCCCCTCTCCTCCTCCCCCTTTTCCTCCTCTTCCTCTTCCTCTTCCTCCTCCTCCTCCTCCTCCTCCTCCTCCTCTTCCTCATGTCCGGTCGGACGAACAGGGGGGGAGAAGCAAACGGGTGGTTAGCCAGGCAGCTCCTGTGGCGAACTCTCCCGGCACCTCCCGGCGCCGGAGGGCGCCAGTGGCACCGAGGGTGGGCGCCCCGCGGCGGGGCGAGAAACCGGCTGCCGGGAGCAGAGATCGCAGAGTCGTCGTGCTACCATTAAGTCGGGCCTGTCCCCCCACAGGGGGATTTTCGACGAACCCTACAAACTACCCACCAGATAGTCCAAAAATAGTCCAACAATAGTCTGGGGACCACTTCTTGAGTATGTTTTGACCTTTTTGGGGGTATTCTTGGGGTATCTTGCATTTTTCGTCGAAGATCCCCCTGCAGGGGGGCCTGGCCATCGCTCAGACGTCCAGTTCCTGTGCTTGCTTCGGTGTCGTGCGTGGGTTTTTCGCCAAATCGTCAAGGATGCTCCTCGATGGTCCTCGCCGAAGGAAAACTGCACACGTCCGAGCGATGCCAAGCCACTGCGTCTGTTTGCGCCGCCTTCCAGCCGGCCGAAAGAGAAGCGGTGGTTGTGGCCATTTCCCTGGTGCCAAGCTCAACGAGGCCGAAAAAGAGGCGGTGGTTGTGGGACTACTGTTTGAGCATGTGTTGACCTTTTGGGTTGTATTTTTTGGGGTACTTTTAATGTTCGTCGAAGATCCCCCTGCAGGAAGGGCAGGCCATCGCTCGGACGTCCAGTTCCTGTGCTTTTTGTTTCGGTGTCGTGTGTGGGTTCTTCGCCAAATCGTCAAGGATGCTCCTCGATGCAGAGGAAAAAGAACTATGCACATACACCGATCCTGGGTCAAGGATGGGCCTTGCCAGGATCGGTGCATGTGCATAGTTCTCTTCGCCCGACGATGGCCCTCGCCGAGCGACGCCGAGGGGGGCAGGCCCGACAGAACGCCACCCGACGGGCACGAATTGGGAGGCCCTCCCGGCCACGGCGCGCCCCGGCCGCGCGCAGCTCCCACGACCACCTGCCGTCCGCAGCACGGCCCGGCCGTCGGAGCCCCTCCAGAGCCCAGGCCTGGCCCCCTACAGGGGGATTTTCGACGAAAAATATAAACATACCCTCAAAAATAGCCAAACTATAATCAACAAAGAGCCCAGGCAGGCCCTTATTATATGCCAGCGCCTGGACTGGCGGGACGGGACAATGACCACAGCCACCTGGCCATCGCTCGGACGTCCATTCCCTGTGTTTTTGTTCCAGTTTCGTGCGTGTTTTTTTGTTTTTTTGCCAAATGATCAAGGATGTTCCTGGATGGTCCTCGCCGAAGGAAAAATCCACACGTCCGAGCGATGCCAACCCACTGCGTCTTGTTTGCGCCGCCTTCCAGCCGGCCGAAGAAGAGGCGGTGGTTGTGGCCATCTCCCTGGAGCCGAGCTCAACGAAGATGACCACAACCACTGCCTTGTTGCTGCGGGCTGGAAGGCGGCATCAAAAGAGAAGCAGTGGCTGTGGTCGTTTTCGCGCCCCGTATGACTACACTCCGGATTCCACCATACGAGGGAGGTGGTCTGATATTTGGGGGAGGTGGTCTGATATTTGGGGGGGTGGGGTCTGATTGGAGCTGTCTTGGAGAGTTGGGACCCCCTCCCTTTGATAACGAACTCGGGAGTCTCTGAAGAGTGTCTGAAGCCTTCCCGAGGGCAACAGAAACCTCTCAGAAGGCCGGAGGCCTGCTGAGAAGCCCCGCCGCCTTCTGAGGAGGCCTTCTCCTACTCACTTTGCCCCCCAGGCGCACCGCCGAATTTGCATGTTGGGTCAAATAGTCGGGGCGCTGACCTAAGGAACCCTAAATAAGGAACGAGGCCCCTTTTCCCCCTATCGAAAACATAAGGAACAAGTTAAACTTCGATTTCGCATCGAAAACATAAGGAAAACCTGAGGCAAGCTGTGAAACAATCAAGGAACACCGAGCCCCTCCCCAACGAAAAGGGTTCCTTCTTCAGCGCCTCGACTGTAACTCGGGTCTCCGGCGGCCGTTCGGGACGATGCGGGCACCCCGAACACGCCCTCACCCAGGCGCAGCCGCTGGAACGCACCCAGAGACTGGAAAACCACCGAGAACCGACTGGAGAGGCCCTGGGACACACAAATAAATACACACAAATAGAAGGATTCCCTATATTTTCCCATGTTGTCTGGGTTTCTGTCTTCCCCCCCACTGCCCATATTGTTCTACATTTCTGGGGAGTCGACGATTAATTGTGTCTGTGTGTTTTTTCTCCTCCTGACCGACGACAACGCCCGACGACCTCGAACTTCGAGCCCGCAACTTCTCCCCCCCGAGGCGCGCCGCCGAGTGCCAGCGCACTCGCTGCAGGCCATTCCCCCCTTCCCCTCTCGACAGGGGGAGGCGGCCGCCCTGGCCTAGAATGAGGTCGTAACCCCATCCACGTTATTACGGAATCTGAAATACAGCCGGGGCGTTGACCTAAGGAACCCTAAAGAAGGAACGAGGCCCCTTTATCATCCATAAGTTATAAACTTCGGCTTCCCATCGAAAGCCTAATCAAAACCTTGGACAAGCTGCGAAACAATCAAGGAACACCGAGCCCCTCCCCAACGAAAAGGGTTCCAGGAGAGGGGGAGCGAGGATTCGGAGGGGGAGGCGAGGAGGGATGGGAGATGGACTGAGAGGGGGTGGGAGAGGGGAGGCAGGGGGGGGGCTGAAGCCTGTTTGTCCCAATGGTTCATGCGCAAAACAGAACAAGACGCTTATATTTCTCATGGCTGGAACCCGCTCAAGACAGACGCCTGATCCTTCCCTTCTTACCCGAAACAGGGAACGAAGGGGAGCAGATAAAGAAGAGCAGAGCGCGAGAGGGATACATGGATGCAGATCTATACAACTAGACATAGACACATACAAGTATAGAGATGGAAGGGAGAAAGAGAGAGAGAGAGAGAGAAAGATAATCAAACACGAAAGAGAGAGAGAGAGAGAGGGAGAGAGAACGCCTTGGAACTGGGAGGCAGAACTACTGGGAGATACAGAACAGCCATGTGACCGTGCGAGAAATACCCAGTGAGAGAGTATATACATAGAGAGAGAGAGAGAGAGAGAGAAACAAAACGCACACACACGCAAAAACGAGAGGGAGAGAGAGAGAGAGAGAGAGAACAACCAACAGACAATTGTTCGGTGGCAGGGTAAGGGAAACCAGCTGCACGCCACCGGAACAGCGCAAAGCAGATGGTATATCTGCTTCGTCACAAGTACGTCACTAAAGGCAGCTTGGTGCACAGCATGCGTGTACAAACCTGCTTTGGGCGGGGACGGAGAGAGGAGGGAGAGGTAAAGGAGAGAAGAGCCATGATGGAACATAAGAAGGTAGAGAGGATACTCGCACTCTAGGAACCTATGGTCTCAGGGGTTCCCCAGACGAGGCCCTCGGAGGGGCAGTGGCCTCCAGAGGCCTTCAGAAGCCGCCAAAAGCGAAAAACACGCGCAAAAGCAATGGCTTAGGATGCGGCCCGTGGGAAATCAAATTCAGCACTGGCGCTAGTATAGTCGCGGTCCGGCAAAATCCTGTTAGTTCAGCTGAATACCGCTCTATATGGTCTAGTATTGTGTTTAGTCTGGGCTAGTCCGGCCAAGTCGCCCAAGAATCATGCTCAATCGCTGTCAATCGTTCTTGCAGAGGGACATTCCTGGAGTTGCCTCCCAACGTATCGACCCTTCTCTCCCCCCGTCCTCCTCCTTCTCCTCCTCCTCCTCCTCCGATAATACCAGCTGCGGACGCTGGTACCACACCCGTTGTCCTCCCTCAACCGTTCTTGCGCGCCTCCGGCTACAGCTGCATATGCGTCTCCTTCTCCTCTCCACGTCCTGCTCTTCCTGTCCTCCCTTTGCTCCCCCCCCCCAAAAAAAAACACCCCCTCCTCATCAATCATCCCACTCGCCTGCCACCTTCCCGTCCCCCGCACAGAACTCGGCTCGCTGCCCTCCCCTCCTCCTGCTCTTACCCCGCCCGCCACTGCATACGCCCTGCTCCTGGAAACTCCATCAAGCAAGCGCACGGCATCTCTACGTTCGGACGTCCTCATAATCGAATCCCACCAGCCCTTTAGGGCGTCGGTGGTTTAACGAGTTTCCTCTTCCACTCCTCCTTCTTCCCCTTCGGGGAGGGGTTTACCCCTCCCCCTACCCCCTCCCCACTGACCTGGACAGGAGGGGCGGGGAGCGGTCAGAGCGTTCAAACCGGCCTCGCCGAGAAGCCAAAATCATTGATGTTACTAACGTGTTGGCCCCATTTTGGCCTTCTGAGGGGGCAACGCTAATTAAGACTCCCCTCTTCTTTGAAGCCAAAATCATTGATTTTACTAAGGTTTTGGCCCCATGTTGGCCTTCTGAGGGGGCAGCGCTAATTAAAGTTCCCCTCTTCTTTGAAGCCAAAATCATTGATTTTACTAAGGTTTTGGCCCCATTTTGGCCTTATGAGGGGGCAGCGCTAATTAAAGCTCCCCTCTTCTTTGATCGATTTCCTCCAAGATGGCCCCAAGAAGCGCCCAGGAGGCACCAAGAGGCCCTAAGATGGCCCCAAGATGGCCCCAAGAGGCCCCCAGGAGGCTCCCAAGAGGATCCCAAACGGCCCAAAGAGGCCCCCCCGATGCACCCAAGACGCCGAAAAGCCCCTCAGGACGACCCTCTACTCGCCTGGGCGTCGTTTCTGGACGGGCTGGTGGGGATATATTTTTTTGTTACAGCCGCAGGCGGAAGCGCCAGCGGCGGGAGGTCGCGGGCGGGCCACGGCCGCGACTAAATTGCCTAACGCGCACGGGGCCG